GAACGGTTCTTCCACGGCAGCTAGAGGGATTGGAACAGTTTTTCCACAACAGCGACGGATATTCCCTACTTCCACGGCGGTGACAGGGATTGGCGGCCCTTCCTCGGCAACGAGGGGGAATGGAACGGTTTTTCCACTGCGACTCTCCAGGAATGGCACGGTTCTTCCACGGCGGCTAGAGGGATTGGAAAGGTTTTTCCACTGCAACGATGGAGATTGGTAGTCCTTACTTCCACGACGGCGACGGGGATTGGCGGTCCTTCCAAGGCAACGAGCGGGAATGGAACGGAAGAGGTGGTATGAGGGGCAATGATCAAGGAAGACGTAGCAGACGATCAGGAGGCGGTTGTCCGAGGATGGAACAGTTCTTCCACGGCGGTGATGGGGACTGTCGGTCCTTCAACGACTGCGAAGAGGGATGGAGGAGACGATCAGGGGAGGCGTGGCGGACGTTCAGGAGGCGGTTTCCAGGTATAGAATGATTCCTCCACGGCGGCGATGGGGATTGGCGGTCCTTCAAGACGGCGAGGAGGGATGGACGAAGCGATCAGGGAAAGCGTGGCGGACGTTCAGGAGGCGGTTGTCCGGGGGTAGAATGGTTCTTCCACGTCGGCGACGGGGATTTGCAGTCTTTCCTAGGCCGGGAGGGACGTGGCGGTTGATCAGGAGGTCACTAGGTATCCTTAAATAGATAGTTTTTTTTAATTTTTACAGCAGCGACGGGGAATGGGACGGTTTTTTAACGGCAGCAAAGCGGTTGGGAACAGAGATGGCGTGGCGGACGATCAGGAACCGGTTGTCCTGAAATGGAACGCTGCTTCCACGGCAGCGACGGGAATTGGCGGTCCTTCCACAGCGGTGAGAAGAGATGAAACGGTTTTTCCACGGCAGCGAAGCGGTCTTATGCAGAAATGGGACGGTTTTTTCACGGCGACGACGGGGAATGGGACGGTTTTTCAGATGCAGCGAGGCAGTCAGGGGAGGCGTGGCAGACGGTTATCCTGTGATGAAACGGTTTTTCCACGGCAGCGAAGCGGTCAGGGATGAAGAGACGTGGCGGACAAACAGGTGGCGACTATCCGGAAATGGGACGGTTTTTTCTCGACGGCGATGGGAAATGGGATGGTTTTTCAGNTCAGGGGAGGCGTGGCAGACGGTTATCCTGTGATGAAACGGTTTTTCCACGGCAGCGAAGCGGTCAGGGATGAAGAGACGTGGCGGACAAACAGGTGGCGACTATCCGGAAATGGGACGGTTTTTTCTCGACGGCGATGGGAAATGGGATGGTTTTTCAGGTGCAGCGAAGCGGTCGGGAACAGAGCAGGGCAGAATATCAGAGGCGATTAGGGTAGGCGTAGCTGACGATCACGAGACGATTGTCATCGGTTGCAACGGTATTTCCACGGCGGCGAGGAGGGATGGACTATCCGGAAATGGGACGGTTTTTTTACGGCGGCGACGGGAAATGGGACGGATTTTCAACGGCAGCGAATCGGTCGGGAACAGAGATGGTGCGACAGGGATTAAGATGGCGTAACGGAGGTGATAGTAGAATAGGACGGTTTGTTTCTAGCGATTATATGCTCTGAGAAAAAGCTGGCACTTGGATGAACAGCAAGCTGCGAAATGATCCGAAAAATAGACATGGCGAACAAGTAAAAGTAGCAATCAGATGGCAGCGATGAAGGAATGATAATATTTTTCCATGCAAGGTAATTAATTAGGTAAAAAAATTGTTTGGCAGACGACCATAAGTGGGAGAATGACAGTTTTTTTTCACAGTGGCAATACCATCGGTAGTAGCAATCATGATGGATAGCATAGTGTGGACAATCTGAAGACGACGATGGGGGATTAAAGTTGCATGGCGAACGATTAGAAAATGGCGATCGGCGGTGAGATGATCTGAGAATAGCTGGCACGCGGACGCACAGGAAGCTGTGAAGTGATCAGGAAAGTCAGGAAAGACAAACAATTAGAAAAGTAGCGATCGGAAACTAAACCATTTCAAGGTAGTTTCACAGCAACAGGCAGTAGAGGAAAAAGATAAAGTAACAGTCAGATGACAGCAATAAGGGAATGAAAATATTTTTTCGGCAAGGTAATTAGGTAAGAATATTGTTAGGCAGACGTTCATAAATGTAAGAATGACACGATTTTTTTCAGTGGCAAAACCATCGATAGCAATCATGATGGATAGCATAGTGGAAGATTTGAAGACGAATGAATGATTTGGAAATTAAAATGGCGTGACAGACGATTAGAATAGAAAGATGTTTGCATGGCGAATCATGGATAAAGATGGCGCTGCAAGCAATCAGAAGACGACGGTTTTCTTCAAAAATGGAACTGTTTTTCCAAAGCGTAAAGTGATCCTGGAAGATGCCAAGCAACGATCAAATGGCTGCTACCCACAAATGGAATTGTTTTGTTACGAAAACGAGACTATTTAGGAAGATTGCGTGGCAGACAATCAAAAGGATACTATCCAAGGAGATAGAGAAAAAAATTGAGCAGAAAAGAGATGGTATAGCAAACAACCAGATGGCAGCTATGAGGCAACGACAAGATTTTTCCATGACGGCTATTTTTCATAGTGCTAAGGCCAACCATCGATGACAATCATTATAGACAGCGCCTGAAGATGGCGATGGGGGATTGAAGTTGTGTGGCGGATATTTATAAGGCGGCGATCGGAGAATAAAACGATTTTGTCACATTGGCAAGGCAATTACGGATGAAATTGGCATGACAGACGATCGGAAGGCAATTTGCACGGCGAATCATGAATAAAGATAGCATAATGGACAATCAGAATATGGCGGCAGAGGAGTGGTGTTGCAGACGACTAAAAAATGCCAAGTGACGGATCATTTGACTGCTATCCACAAATGGAACGGTTTTGTTACAAGAACGAGGTCTACGGTCAGAAAGAAGGTATCTAAAAAATTGAGAAGAAAAAAGGTGTAATGCAGGGTTAGAGGACCGCTGTCTCAAGAGTAATGGGGTGCTGCAGACTATAACGAGTTAATATTTCTTACTAACAATACGTTTCATTATACCCACTGTATCAAATGCCATGAAGAGGCAGTTTTAACACCAGTGGTAAGAGTAAGATACTTCATGAAGTGAAAGGTTATTTTGTCACTGAAATAAACTTATGTGTATGTGAAGATATCTCATTTATTTCAGAAGAGTTACTGATGAAGATGGTGTCATTGCGAGTAGAAAATTGCATACCAGTATGAATGTTACTAGTTAGAGACTAAAATCCTTGCCGACTATCGATAGGTGTTCTTTTTCTGTCAGGAGCTATACAGTGTGTCTCTGAAATAATTGCGTTCCTTGAAAATAGTGATAGATGGCACGAAAATGAACAACTTTTATTAAAACAACTGATGGTTTAAATGCTTCTATTTTCGAAAAAATTAATTAAGAAAATTGACCATAAATGAGCCGACCCTGTGCATCTTGTGCAGGTGCATGGCCAGAATGGGAACTCGAAAATCCGTACGCAATTGAATGATATCACTTCTAACACCGTTTTTCACTGAATATTTGGGCCGGAATTATTAATGAGCGCCTAATTAGGCCGTTGTTATTGCCCAATCGTATGGATGGTTTACAATATCTCTAATGTCTGCAATGACCTGCCCGCCCTTCTTGAAATTGTACCCCTAGCTGTCGAACAACGCATGTGGTTTTTACATAATGGGACACCTCACTTTCGGCTAGATTGTTCGAGATTATCTCCATCAAGTGTACGGAATACGGTGGATTGAACAAGGTGGATCGGTAGCACGGCCTCCATGGTCTCCCGATTTAAACCCTTTTGACTTCTTTTTGTAGGGCAATTTAAAAAATAAGGTATACCGAAGTGAAAACCGTCGAGGATTTGCGCAAGCGTATCACAGCTGCCACGAATAATTTGCATTTACAACAGCGACCAGGAAGAACATTCGCTTTAGTACGACAAAATTGGATAAGGCGTGCCCAAATATATGTACATCGAGGGACAAAATTTCGAACAGCTTTTGTAATAAGGTATGTGCTACTTTTTTTATAAATTTCATGTTTGTAATAGTGATCAAGTACCGCAATTCTTCAAAATTAATGTAACAAAATTTTATTTATTTTAAAGACTGCTCAGATCTATCTATCTTTAAGTTTATTTTAAAGTACACATATGTTGAACATTCTCAATTTTTTTTTGGATAAGATAAATTCTGCAACCTGTATGTGACAATATTTTAAGAATAACATATGTCTGTCTTATTAATGTTTTTTTAATGTAAAATATAATTCGCAGAATGGAGAACTTATGGAGTACTCATATATTTGTTCGGAGCGTTAATCCGCGGAGTAGTTGTTTCCTACAGTATCGTCAATTAAGAATTGTCTGATATATGTAAAACTTACCACGGGCGTTTATAAAAATATTTTAATCTCGATTTTGTCTGCAGGGATACTTCACAACTTCAAGATGTATGGTATACACTCGTCCAACACAAGTTAAAACCGGCAGATACAAACTTCATTAATAATATATAAAATAAGTTAAGTCTCACTGTAATAAATCCATAAGTTCATTTGTAAAATACTTAATTAAAAATAAAACGTTCGGATTATTTTCTGATTTTATTTCCCCATATTTAGTTCCACTATACAATTTTCTGCTCTGTTCACTTCTAACTGCACAGCCAGGCTAGAATAATTGTCATCCACTACAAGTAGTCTTCCAGTAGCAAAACATTACACAAAATGAAATCACACCTTTGCCTTACTATACTTATTTTTACAGTAAATTGTGAATGGGTGGAAATTACACCTATTAAAAGTAATAAACATGTATCAGGTGAGTACTTAATTAATTTTATATAAAAAGGAAGGTATAGGTATGCATTTGTAGGTACTGTTTATAATATTGAAATTGAAATTTATGGAAAGAAATGGTGCAACTCGGTCTAAATTAGTAATAAATAAACTAGCAACATAAATCAACATTTTATTTTTCGAAATATTTAAAGCTGAGGACAAGATATTCAAAATTCTCGAATTTAAATTCTTTCACTAATACTTTAAGATTCATTTTAAAAAAGTATGCTACATACTTACAACAGTATTAATGCTAATTTTAGATAGCTCTTAAATTTGTTAGATTTATTCGTGACCTCTCGGTATAATTTTTTTTCGTTATAAAGTTATGGGTCCCCAAAAATATGTTCAGGAGGAAGTTTTGGGGTATCCGGTCTTCTGTTGTTAAATGTAAGCTGATTCCTAAGTACGTTCCTGAGTTAATTTTAAGAAAAAAATCCTTTGAGAGTTTGTTCAAACTGCCTATGATTAACTATAGTTACACGATTAGAAAGCATAATTTCTGACATATCAAATAATTTTTCAAGACACCATGGCTTAAATAAGGTTATGTAATAGCATATTTATCGAAGAAAAAAAAGTTACACACTAATTTTTATTACGGTTTGAATACAAATTCGCAGTTCAACAAAAAAAACTGAAAATATAAAGGTAGGTTAAAGTGTTTATAGTAACCGTCACGTTCTAGCAAACTGCAAAAGAAGCAACGGCTACAGATAAAAAGGTTGCTTCAAGTTATGACGAAATTCGTAACTACTTTTATGTGAATTAAATGGTGGGGACACGAATTCCAGAAAAAATGAAGCGATTCCAACTTTTTTCCTAATTTTCTTAATTTGTGACAGCACTCTGAACTTACAGATAATAATTAGCAGGGTTTTATGTTACATCACTCTCTGAACACGAAATGTAGCTTTATAAGATTTGGGATAATTCTTTAATTTCATGTTCACGGAACGGTATGTCCCTAAATACTTTAGGTATTGGCGGTATTGCGTAATAGCTGTTTTACATTGACAATTTATTGATCAATTAATATTTTATATGAGTAAACTCCAATAAAGAAAATAACATACTAGTACAACTGAAAATAAAGAAACTATACAGTGTATCCAAAAACAAAAGGCCCAGGAGAGCTTATTTGGGTGAAAATAAACTTATAGTTTAAAATATCCCAGTACAATTTTACTTCCTTAAAATGTTAAGGACCTTAAGTATATTTTTTTAATCTCGTTTTCTCGGGTAAAAATGATATTTCAAAATCTTTAAAATTCTTATATTAAATAAAGCACTCATTTTTGCGTACTTGTTTCCGGATGGTCCATCAAACACGGCATCTTCTGATTAGGCGTTGACTATTTTAGGTCTTTCATAAATATTATTTTAGAGATCTTTTAATATCTCATGAGCCGCGAAATGCGCGAAAGGCGTGGCGTATCCCCATAATTCTTCTAATAAACACATTGTGAAAACATTGACTCGGAATTAGAACACGTGCCTCATTACAACTAGAAATGAACTAAGGCGCTCGGGCATCAATAAAGTCAACTGGCGAACGTTCGTTATATATATTTTTCTTGTTTTAATTAAAATAATAAAGAATAGGGCATTTTATTATGATATTTGTAATCGGATCAA